GGCCAATTTACCTACATTCCAGTACACTGTATACTGCTGTACAATAATAATTTTCTATGTTTGAAAAGCGTGTAACATAAGAACAAAATAAGAACATTTTGAGTCTGAAATAGGCCAAAAAGTAAGAATACTGAGCCTGGGCAAAATTTTACTGGTTCTTATAAAAAAAAAAGTGTATAACTTTAAGATGATAGGTAATTTACTGGAATCGATTAACTAGTACAGTAATTGCCAAAGTTGTACAGTATAATAAGCAAAAGTATTAGAGCTTCTGTGTCTAACAATACCGACACATTCTTATAACGCTAATTACTCAGTTTAACATTTAGCGACAGAAGCTAGTTTGGGATGGCAAGCCACTTACAGTATTTAATGAAAACTTATAATTTTTTAATAACATTTTTTTATTGTTATTTGTTATTTGGTATTTACATAGCGCCTTTTCCTTTAGGTTGCAAATTGGTTTGTTTTCCCTGGTCATTGGGTCCACATGCTACACTGTACAGTAAGTGTTGCTACTGTACCATATAGGCACAGTACAGCAGCAGGCAACCCCAGCAGGTACCCATTTATACTCCTGGGTATAATAGAAGCAATGCAGATAAAGTGCCTTGCTCAAGGACACAAGAGAATGCATAGTTACTTCAGGGGATAAAAACCCCAACCTTCAGGTTGGGAAACCAAACTTGTTTCCGCTGCACTAAATGCTTACACTTTTTAACCGATAACAATAGTCATAAATGAAAAAAATCACCAGGAACCACGACTATACATCTTGTGTACCATATCAAAATTTGTACGGCTTAAAGCTTCTTTGGGAACCGAAACAGGAGGCAAAGAAGATGGGACGACCGGCACATACAGGGCTGAAAATTAACCTCAAAACCATAGTGGCCAGCAGGGCCAGTAAGGAAAAAATTATACTGGCCCTTCCAAAGTTATATTGGTCCTATATTTTATTCTAAACATGTTGATAGTCCTCCATGGATAAACGCAAGCTCTGAAGTCATTATGTACCCGAGGGTCGGCTGCTTTTAGGTCTACTTTGTCGCCAGTTTGCGCCCAAAGGGTACACTACCAGCTAGCCGCCTGTCCTGAATATAGTACCTTCATGTTGTCATCATACATGAAGTTGATTCACCTTCATGTAGTTGTCATCGTACAGCCACTGCCCTGCATCTACTGCGTTAAAATAACAAATAACAAATTGCGAAGCACGCAATGATGTTCGCAGCTAGACTACCAATACAACAACACAAATAAACTTTGCATGTCTATGGATTGGCGAAAAATGAAGCTTGAACGGGGAAAAAACGATGTATTTTAGCAAGTATTTGAAACTTTTAAATGATTTTAAGCATTTGAATAGTTTTCGCTGAATTAAAGGTTGCCAGACAGGCAATACCCAAGACATTTATTATCGTCCAACACCAAAAAAGGTCGCCACTGGCAACCAGTCGACCGCTAATTTTCAGCCATAAACATAATTACATTTGGACCAGTATGTGGACCAGTTCAGGAGAGACACAGGATTGACCACTAAGGAACTAAAGAACATCATGGATGATCGTGAAGAATGGAGGAAGATAAGTCATAGATGTCCGAGCGAGTTCAAATTAAGATATATTTCAAGTCAACAATTTAACCTGGCTCTAGAAAAAGGGCTTAGCCAGCAAGCCGTCCGGCTGTCTTTTAGACAGCCAACAATTATGACGGTCACTTTTACTGTGACGGCTTGGACGGCTTGGCCTACTCAGCTCGGTCTAGCCATGGCCTTTTTCTTTTTTCTGGCTAAGCCCCTGCTCTGGACTGACTTTAAAAATCAGCCTGTGGAGGGAGGTATAATTTTAGTCAAGGAGCAAGTGATTTAGTCATACAGGGTAGGCCATGAGCTAGAAGTATGTATTAAGAAATTACAAAATGACGTAATTTTGAAGTTTTAGCTCGAACTATAACCAAAGTTCATTTTAGGAATACCGGGGTTTTACATTAATATACAATTACAATCTAGGGCAACAGAAGCGGTAAACTGGGCCCAGACTGTAAAATAAGGCCTGCGCAATTAACTGAAAGCAATTAATCACACAAAAGTAACTTTGGTATGTATGGACACCACGAAACGTTGGTGTCAATTAAAGACAATAGGCCAAATTAAAATGGGTGACAGAAGATCGGGCCCACAAGACGATCCGGTTCACCTAGTGTGGTCTTTCGAGCCCACTTCCTTTCTGAATTCATTCTAAATTTATTTATTTAACCTACAGGATAGTCTTAATTTAAAGTGTCCTAATTAAAATTATCAGATATTTATAACTTGTATTATATTTTTTATTATTTGGGTATAAAACCTCAAAGTACAAATAACAGTCATGGCATATGAGCTGAAATGATTTTGCCTACAAACGATCAGGCCCATTTCCAGACTATTAGGACAATTTTCAGGATGATCAGGATGTCCTGGACCGGATCGTCTTTGTTTGGGCCGATCGTCTGTAGGATTCATAAATATTGAGAAATTTCTTTAATTATCTAGGCTAGGTCTAGGGCCCTAGGACCCAACAACTAGGATATCAAGACAAATAAGACATTCTGGTATGTAATAAATCGTGGCAGGCAGTCTCCTCAATGCCATCAATGCCATCAATGGCTCAATGCCATCAATGGCTCAATGCTTATTGCTACACAGGCCTAGGCTCTAGCCTACGCATATGTAGTAGTAGTATACTGTAGTAGTTAGTACGCCTTACTGTAGTCCTAGCCTAGGATCCCCTACCTTTTAGGGGAACCTTGCTAGGCCAGCCTAGGCGTAGGCCTGGGTTCGAGAGGTCAGCATCAACAACACATTTGCGAACACTGACTGTTGACTGTGTGTGATGACAGACGCACATAACAACAAACAATATAGCCTACAGAAACATTCTAGGCCTAGGCCTATATTACTACATAACGATTACCTGTGTTACCTCATCACCTACACATATTTATCGTTCCGCGTATACCAAAATGTAATTTAGTAGCCGCCATTAGAAAATAATTCCAAGATCTTTTCATGGATACATATCCAGCCTACCCTCCGTCGGGTTGGAGCTCGCTGCATGCAAGGCTAGGCCTGCTAGACATTCTGCAGTGTGAGAGAGGTGCCAGACAGCCATACACTGCCTATCACTTCCGCGGAACTCTTTGGATCATGAATATACAACATTAAAATAAACTACTTACCCATCAATTCAATATATTAACAATAAAACATATTTTTTTTCTAGACACATTATGGTCGCTCTCAGTCATATGTTTATAACTCCAATTTATTTATTGTTTTTATTTAGAATAGTATTCATCCACAGTGTAATGAGGTTTTTCTTCCAGACAGTCTGTCGACCTGGACATAAAGTGCGCCACCAAGAAAATAAAGAGCAACGCATTGTTTGAAAAAATAAACGCAGCTTTATGCATTGTATATTTCAATAAGTTATTATTACTTCAACTAAAAATTACTAGTTGCGTAATTAACAATGGTTTCACCTGCAATTATTTTAACCTTTCAAGAGGGCTAAGACAGGGCTGCCCGCTATCCCCTTATCTATTTATATTATCAGCAGAGATTTTGGGTCTGTCAGTTAGACAAGACAAGTGTTTCAAAGGCATCACATTTAAAGGTATTGATATCAGAATAAACCAGATAGCAGATGATACAGTGTTTTTTTTTAAAGATGAACAAACGCTTAATACGGCAATAGAGATTCTTGATAAGTTTAGTAAATATTCCGGTCTTCGTGTAAATTTTGACAAAAGTAACGTTCTTAGAATTGGCTCCATTAATAATACCAACTTTAAAGTCGAATGTAACAAAAATATTAATTGGACGGATGGGCCTATAAAATACCTGGGAGTACACGTTTCTGGCAACAGTGACCAATTATTTGGACTAAATTTTGAAAGCAAATTAGACAAAATAGGCAATGTTCTTAAAACATGGAAAATACGAAATCTATCCTTAATTGTAAAAGTTCTGATAAGTCTTTGGCTTTACCGATTTTATCGTATAACTTTTCAAATCTACCAATACCCTCTACAGAATTTATCAACAGAGTACAAAATATGTTTTTTGCTTTCCTTTGGGATGGAAAACCGGATAAATTAAGAAGAAAAACTTTATACAATAAGTTGGATAAAGGAGGTTTAAAGATGCCACATACCTTACTAAGCTATATATATTCTCTCAAAATTTGCTGGATTAAGCGTTACCTTGATGAAAGTGATGCAAAGTGGAAAACCTCCTTTACTTCTGAATTACAATCTATCGGTGGAAGAAATATCTTCACATGCAATTTTTCTAATAAGTCCGGTATTCTTAACCAATATCTGGATTCTATAAAGATGTATTATCAGCCTGGAGTGAATATCAATTTTTACCTAACCCGGATACTGCAAATGAGATTTGCAGTCAAGTTTTATGGAATAATTTTTGTTTTGTTAATAGAGCTTTTAAAATTCAAAGTCACTGATGGAATGCTGGTATTCGCACAATAAAAGATATAACAAATAGAGACGGGTCTTTCCTTCTACAAAATGAGAATCCAAATATCAAATTAAAATTGATTTTCTTCTGTATAATGCAATCCGGCATTCCGTCCCAACGACTTGGAGAATTAAACTCAAAGAAAATCCAAAAATAACTAATGAATGCGTTGATATTTGTAGGTGTGAATCTGTTTTTAAATGCAAAAAAACCTGTAACAACGTCTATCATTCCATTGTGGAGCGTATTGGTACTGATGTAAGTGAAATAGAACAAAAATGGTCCGATATGGGTAAATTGAACATCAAAAAAGTATTCTGTGTTCTTCACAAACTGCCAATCGACAATAAAATTAAAGTTTTTCAATTTAAATTTATGCATAGAATCTTTTTCACCAATGTAAAATTGTTTAAGATTGGTCTGGTAAAGTCTGAACTATGCTCTTTCTGTAATAAGGAAAAAGATCATCTCTTACACATGTTTGTTGAGTGTAGAATCAGCCTTTGTGGGAAACTACTAAAGAATTTATCTTTAATGAAATTAATACAGTAATTAATTTTGACACAAAAAGTATCTGCTTTGGAGAGCCGGATTTACCACCAATTGTTAATTCTTTCATATTGTTCACTAAATATTATATCTATAGCTGTAAATTACAAAATATAATTCCTTATTTCAAGGATCTAAAACTCAGACTAGAAAAATATAAAGATGTACTCAGACTCATGAATTGAATCTCCCTACTGTATTATAAACTCAATGGCATGCTTATTATTATTTCTTCTGTTTTGTTATTGTTGTAGTTGGTATTATTGTTGTCATTATTATCAACGACAACAATGATGATAACAATAATAATAATTTGTTTTTCTTGTACATTTGTATTGTATTATATTGTTATGTCTATTTTTTATTAAGGCTTTTTATTGTTATTTTTTCTGTTAAATGTTATGAATGTATCATGCATGAAAGAAAGAAATTATAAAAAAAAAAAAGACGTCAATCATTTTAATAACGATTTCATTTGCTTCACAAAATATGAAATATCACCCCATGATACAGTCACAGAGAGTCAGCAGTAGGCGACACTGCCTATTTTTCACTTGGCTAATTTATTCGCGCGAATGGAAAGCGGCGGATCATGCACATGCTCATTCACATTTCTATCGGAGTTTTTACTAGCGTAAAAATGCGCAACCAATCAGAACTCAGGAAGCAAACCGACGCTTTGATTCGCGCGAATAAATTCTCCTAGTGGAAAACCGGCTTGGAAAACCAGCTTAAAGCCGGTTTTCCACTTGGCGAATTTATTCGTGAGAATCAAAGCGTCGGTTCGCTTACTGAGCTCTGATTGGTTGCGCATTTTTTCGCTTCGCAAAAAAAGAAATGCGATTGCGCATGGGTATAAACCGACGCTTTCGATTCCAGGGTTTTGCCAGTGCACTGGCAGGTACTCTGTCCACAACATCTCCTTGATTTAGAGCCCTGTCGGCAAATTCGGAGCCACCATACTGGCACGTGTGTATAATTGTAGATTATTAATCTATTTCAGTGGTACCCAACCTTTCCGTTCGCGGACCCGTCTGGACCGTGCCAAAATCTTCACGGACCTTGTCCAAATACGGTATCCCAACAATAATTGATTGGTCTATAGATAGAAGATGATAAAGTATACAACATTAAACATTAGCGAATCCTAGAATTCGAAATAGAAACAACCTCACCCCCACCATGGTTGGGGCTGAGGTAAAAGAAATTATAGGGCCTATGCCACTTCTTTTAGATGGCTGGAATTAGCACTGTCAGACTCAGAATTTAAAGGTAATTTTCTTAGCCCCCATCCCCATTTAGGGGGCGACTCATGGTTGATATTCCACCAATAACATTATAGATCATAGATGATTGGCCAAATTACGACAACTTGGATCTTGGAATTTGACATAGACATGTGGGGAGGGGTACAGGCAGTAATTCTTATAGGCCTATATGGGATTTACGTTACCAGCTCAGCTCCACACTGGTTGGAAATGTTTATAGAACTTGTGATGGCCGGAATTGACACTCACTCAAAATTTAAATGTAATAGGCCCATTCTGTTATCCCAAATTGACTTTTAACATTGTCAAATTCAGGGCTGTACCTCCTGATTTTTAAAATGTATTCAATATCCAGGTAAAAACAATATAAGAGAACACATGGAAGATGTAGAAATTCCCTGAGGATTGCCACAATCAAGTGGCTCTCCTAGACTAAACACCTTTACATTGGAATTAAAATATAATACCAATTAAAACAGTGTACATGCCTGTCAAAGATATTTCATTATTGTCAAAATATGATTTGTCACACTATTGTAAGACAAGAACAAAGAATGGAATCATGAAAAGTTTTTCTAATAATCTAAGACCCCAACATTTTTCGCAGACCCTCAATTATTTTTCGCGGACCCCAGGTTGGGAACAACTGATCTATTTCATTTAAGTGTACATATTATTATCTTAGTTAAACGTTATGTATTTATTAAAAATATGCTTTAAAACATTTAAACTGATAGGCTTATTTAATTTTTTTCTCGAATTGTAAATTAAATTTGATTTACAGAATAAGACAAAAAGAATCATTAAAATGCAATAAGCCGCTAATTATCATATATACAAATAGGCCTAAATTGTAAGAGAGTGCTCCATCCTGACTATTCTGCTTTTGTTAATGTTTTACCTGCTTTTAAATGACTTTCGGCAAACTGGGTTTCGGAAAACTGGGATTCATGGTTTTTGTTAAAGAATTTTGAGCAAGAAGGGACTTGAGCCTGATCTCAGAGATCCTCTCAGGAATACAAGGCCATGGTGGCTCCGCAATCTGCTGACGAGGGGTCCGCGATACAGTATGAGTGTTCAACAAATTATATTAGTAGGCTAGACCACTCTTTCCAACAGCTACAAAGAAATCACAGATGAGCTAATTTGAATAAACAGATATCGAAATGTGTGTGAGATGGTCCAAAATATCAGATTGCGAAACCCAGCCTTTGCCGAATGCCAGATTGCCGAGTTCACTTTTTCGAACCGATTAAACCCAGAAGGCGGCAAATTTAACACTTTCAAAAAGCTTTCTTTAAAGTTCTCCTCTTTTTTTAAAACATTCTTAGCACAAGATAATATTGGTTTTACCTGTCTCTTATACACATCTAGATGTGTATAAGAGACAGTACACATACATACAACCACTTAGAAAGGACTAGTGGTCCTGGTTTACTTTTAACGTTTTAGCATGTGCTTATCAATTTTTTACCACATCATTGTTGTTTTCCAATATCTTGCCTTTTAATAATTTATATATTTAATACGGCTTTTACCTGACCCCCCATAAGTTTTGAAAAGCACAGTATGCTGCGTTTTTGTACGACGGTGACGACAAAATTCGGCAAACTGGGTTTCGGCAAACCGGGTTCTTATGTTTTCGGTGAACTGGATTCGGCATCTGGGTTTCGGCAAAGTGGTCATAAACCTTCAACAAACCGGATACCCCTTTGGGTCACTATTTAAACATTAGGGTCCGTGAAGCAAAAATTTGTTGTAAATTGTGCTACGCTGAGTTAATTATCAACTCATTTTAAAATGTACGGCACTAAAGGGGTCTTGTGTAAGAAGCTCCTGTTATGGTGTAATCAATGTTTCAGTATTGTTGACTTCCGAAAATGCCAATTATGTCTAGACAAGGCAGACGGCCCCATGTGGTCCTTTAACGATTGTCCTGGAGTATCAAAATGACTTGGTCGCATTCGTACTGATGGGGAGATTTCGCAGCCTTACTACGACGACAACGAATACGAATACGTCATTATCATTCTCGTCATTCGTGCCTAAAACAGTCTTGACAATATGGTGTACAAGCTGAATATGATCCTTGCTTCATGCAAAAGGCATGAATTGCCTACGTTGTGACAAATATGCTACTGTAGGGGATAAGGTTGTCTAAACTAAAATTTTGATGACATAACCGTATTCGTTATCGTTTTCGTAAGCTGTCGTCTTCAAAAGATGAACATAATTTGGTTTGGGCAGTCTTTAGGTCACTCTGACAAACAAGTTGCAGTTATCATGTACTGTACATCACCTAATTATTTTTTTTTTAAATTCTTTATTGATGTTTTTTTTTTATGTCTTTTGTGATTTAAATTGTTATCTTTATCATATTGTATATTTTATGAGGGAGGGGGCAGCTGGCTTGAAAATGTTATAGTGATTTGTTTGCTTAAGCTGCCCCCGACCATCTTTTGGTCAAATAAATAAACTGAAACTGAAACTTTATAATTTACTTCATGTGGCACGTCAGGATGCCTTATGCCCCTCGGTCTGCAGTAGGTTCTGGAGGCCTGATATACGGTACTAGATGAAGTCCCAAATAATAGATTATGCAATACTAAAAAAATGTAAAGTTTTAACAAATGTAGGGACTGTGCTGGAATGAGATGGTGACGGTTTTACTGGCCAAAAGTTAATGCACTAATAATAACAATAATAATAATATAAATAACTTGAAATGCATCAATTCAAAAGAATTATCAGGCAAGAAAAAATGAGCACAAATGACGTAAAATGTAATGTAAAAACAGAGGTATTTGATCTTATGGAAGAAGGTTAGTTCCAAAAGTAAAGAGGCGGCTAAATGTTTTTTGAACATAACAATGTTCTTGTGTGAAGTTTTGAAACAGTGAGAAAATTTTGCGAAGTAGATCGAAGGCGACGAGTAGGCAAGAAGTGACAGTGGCGGATCCAGGGGGGTTTAAGAGGACAAGGGTCCTGGCTTACAAAAAGCATGCTAACCTTCCTAGGTATAGGTTGGAAGATAAGACAAACTAGGCTTGGCCCAACTATTTTTCAAATAAATTTTACACAGTTTTTGGTTCGCCGTCGTAATAATTTATGCACGAAAGTGAGTTTTTCAGTTCTATCGGTTTATCGATCCATGGAAGAAAGACTACATATCTAACTTCTCAATGTTGTTGGAATATAATAATATATTGCCTGTCTGATTTTTTCCTCCATGATAGGCCTAAAACATGAGATATAGGCCTAATTACCTGACCCTTTTTAAGAGGGGAAAACCCTTTAATTTTCAAGAACCTTTATGTCAGTAAAAGACTCCTCAGAAGTCGAGAAAGCTCATTTACGGCCATCTAGGAATCACAATTTTCCCGGGGGAGGACCCTCATACCCCCTTTCATTTTAGGGTTTTTTAGAAACATTTTGAAACCCCCCTCTTTCTTTTCATCCTGGATCCACCCCTGAGTGAAGTAGAAAATCTGTAAAGTATGGCGGTACACCCAGAAGAAGTGCTTTGAACATTAGTCTGAAGAAGTATTTTATTAGATTTAGGGCGAAGAGAGTTATTGCACTTAAAATCTTAATTCCACTTAGGGACAGCCAATGGTTATTTCACATATAATAGGACCTAGATTTATTGCCAAAGGTTTACATTTGAAGCACATACTCCATGCATGCAAATACATTACAAAAATCAATAAACAACTAAATATACGACATGTCTGCAGTTATTCGTTTTGGAAAGTCAAGGTTCCCAAAATCTGTATGGGCAGTAGGAAATTTCTGCCTCCCACTTGCATACCAATCCAAAATGTTAGTTCCAAAGAAAGATTTATCAATGTATCTTTATGGGCGTGGCTGTTTGCGTCACTAGGCGTAGCGCCGGGATTTTGCCCAGCGGAGAGCAAAATATCAAAATTTTGGGGTTTGAAAATCTTATTTAAGCGATTTCAATATGTAGAAAATACATATAATTCCCCACCCCGTCACACTTAGGGTCCCGTAGGAACAAGTTGATTCCATGGAATTCACAGCATACAGTATTTATTATATGGGCATTCTGAGTTCATCCATTCTCACTATTCACTAGATTATTAGCCTGGAAGTGCCACGGGGCCCCGGCTGTTGTCTGGGCATACAGGCTCAAGTTGCTAAAATTGAATATTTTGTTACTCCCAATATAATGCAAAAGGGTTCATCAATGTTTCTTTTCACGCGGCATTAAAGCTGTTGGGCGTCGTGGCCTTTTTAAAGTTAGTAAATTGTTTAGGGTCCCTTTACAAAAAAAAATGATTTGCGCGAATAATGTTTCAGCATTCATTCTATGATGTATGACTCGTCATGTACCTTTTGTCTTGCCAATCTACCTTTACCTTCACTTTTAAATGGGCCATGGAATATGTACATGTCCATGAGGTGGACTAGACTCTCAATCTGCGAAAGTTCCTCCGTAGGCCCCTCTTTATTCAAATTTCTGGATCCGCCGGTGCAGATCTCCCGGCATTGATTTCTTCTAACTTGGGACGTATACGACGTTTACGCTGTCATCTTATGAACTTGAGAAACAATGTGCAAGGGCCGGGTTAACTGTTACTCCCTGATGCGTTTATCTAGTCACTATGAAAAAGGGAAAGTGTCCTACTATCCTGAGCTAAGAGACCAGTTGATGGGATATAAGCATTGGAGCATGTGGCATTGCTTGTGTCCTTGGGCAAGGCACTTTGCTTGCGTTTGCCTCTCTCCATCCAGGAGTATAAATGGTTACCTGGTAAGATGGTATGGCATTGAATGTATGGGTTGTGCGTGCTGCTCCCGGCAGAGGGAGCAGAGAAAGTTGCAGAAAATGTGCCAGTTTGCCAACTCAGTATCCAGTGACCAGAAAAATGATGCCAGCACGCCCTCTATATACATCCGACTGTGAAAGGCGCGATATAGATTCTAAAACAAAGCAGCAGCAGCATAAACAGGGTTAAATATAACAGTAAAGCCCCTATCGCACTGGACTTAATTTGGTCAAATTAACCGAGTCACTGGCTAAATTGACCAAAAAAAATCCAATCCGAACGTCGGTTACAATTCCCTCAGGGTTAACTTAACCAAGCCGAATGGTTGATTTTACCGACCTCAGCCTGCCCAGTAAAACTTACCACGGTCTCGGTTAAACTAACCACGCTGGTCAAGAAGTCCAATCCGAACGTGCAACACGGTTAAAACTTCTTCCATGTTGACACCGCTCGAACAAAACCGGAAGTTGAAGTCACAAACTCAATAATATTTTTTATACACAAGGTTAAATCTTGGTAAAACTATGGTAAAACTAACCGCGTGAATAATCCAAGTGCGAACAATGGTGAAATGTACCCATGATGAGAAACGATCTCAACTTTCAGCAATCCAGCATAAAAACAATCAATTTTTTCCTTAATTGCACATTAAATAAGACAGAATAATATATCATTTTCCAATTCAAAAGAATGGAAATAAAAATGCATTGTATGTGCAGATCATCTATATAATAAAAATATATAAGTTTTAAAATGGTTAAAATCATATCATCACATATTATAATATTGTGCACACCTTACTTATGGTGATAACCTCAATTAATCAACTTTCAACAGTTTATATTTTATATATACATTGTTATATATATATATATATATATATATATATATATATATATATTGGCTTGCATTTATATTTCTAATTTAATATTTTCATGAAAATCATGCAACAAAACATTTACAGTAATTTTTACTAAATTTGTTTAAAAAAAATGTTTTTGAAACTGCTAATATTAGATAAATAATTATTTATAATAAATTAAAAATGTGTATTGATTAACAAATCAAAAAAATATAATTTTAAGTTTATTGTTAAAAATCATCACAAAAATTATTCTAGTAATTCTTTGGAATGCACAGAATTAATCAAGCGAGGTGCATACCCAAAAAAGGGAGGGACTGATAGAGGCTTTTCCTCCAATCCGGTAGGGCTGTCTAGATTTCCTGGTTATCAAAATTATTTCTATGCATATCTAATCAATTTTGTAAGTTTGCATTTCAAGAAATACACAAAATGTTGGTTATAAAATAGAACAGACTACCACAATTGAAAAATATAATCTCATATAAACATAATTAAATTTAATATTTGAAAAATTAAACCCATTACTGTCTTGAATGCATTTTATATATTTATTTTCATTATTGCTGTATGTTTATAGATTAAGTTTAGTTGAGGGGGAGGTTAGTTATAATAGCCACTAGTCACAATGAATATATAGCTATCTGGCCTCCCCAGGTAGCCTATTGCTTACCAAATTTTCATTAAAAAATAAAATTTTAAAAAAATAAAACAAATTCAAGAATCATTATCTGAAATACCAAGATTAAAGATAATATATTAGTATCTTGTCTCAATGACTGATTAGTTGTATACACATTTTAAATTTGTATATTGTTGTATTAGCTAATCCTTCAACAGCAAGAAATGTGTACTTAAACTGTAGTATTTGGAAAATCTAAATTAGGTAAAATTTTCCTTTTTTTAGGTATACAGCACTGTTGGCCTAGATATGCTCTTTTGTGATATGATAATTATATTATTTTGTTTTTTGAGACCATATTGGATAGATCAAATCAAATATTGGTGACATAAGATGCCTATATAACACATTATGATGACTTTTAATATTTTCAATATTGGTATTGCTTATGTTGCATAAAACTATGATAAAATAATACCAATCCTGGTACCTTTTTATGAATCTTTGATTTTCTCTGTCTTGCTGAGTGTCAGGAAAAGCAGCCAAAAAACAACACTCCCAGCATGAATACCATTCCGTAAGGAAGATGGCAAAAATGACAATTCGGGAACACTTTTATTGGAAAGGTAGATCATGTCGAAGCCCACCACCAGGATACACCTTGCAATTTCTATGAATGGCGCATACCACCTGTTGTAAGAAATGTGACAGTGAGGTGAACTTATAATCTTAGAGTCATAAAGTTAATCCATAAACCAAAAAGAATAGAATGTAAAGCGAGCAGTCCTGTTTTAAAATACGTCACTCCCCTATCAACGATGAAATTCCCCATCGTCATCATAAAGTGTGCCCACTGTGTTCGGTTGTCTCCACGCCTCCACGTAGGATATTAAAACGCATTCATTTCTAAAAATAGTAACATTAAATCTAACTAACGCCCTCTACAAACAAATTGCATCTTGTGAAACACAGATAAAAAAACTGTGCTAGGGACTACTGGGTAACAAATTGTGACAACCGAATGCTGCAGGCGTCCTCTCCTAGACGTGTATAAGGGTGTGTTTGTTTGTTTACGCTCACAGCGATTGTACTGTTCGTTTTTAACTTTCTATACCGTTTGCTAAAACTTCAAAGTCTGAAAAGTGTACTTAATGTGTGGCCGGCTACCATGGGCCATTATTGATCACCTCACTGGCTTGCTTTTGAGCTGACAGGGTCACCCGAATTAAAAATCATCATTAGCTTGCATTTATTATTATTTTTGTCCTTATCATTATTGCTATTTATTATAACTATAATTATTCTAAGTAGCACTTACTTATTATCGCATATGCTACCAATGCAGGTAAGTGTATACACTACGTAGAGGCAGCAAGCAAGGCCAATAACATAACCCATATACTGAAAGATATAAAAACATTGTTGATGATGTTTGAGTCAAATTAAAGAAGACAAACAGTATAAACAACCTTCCCGATTTGTCACCAATGAATCATAAAGACAGACCATTCAGCTGCCAAATTAGCTAAGCATCCTCATCACACAATGATGCTAAATTTTAACATAAAAAGACCATAAAATAATTTAAAAACTAATTCATAGAGCCTAGATGTTCAAATGATGGATTTTTCCATTACAACTATTAAAGTGTAAAATGTGGAGAAATGTAGTTTACCTGAAAATGTTAACACTTTTAAAAGATAATTAATTAAACGTGAAGAAATGTGTACACAATATAAACTGCCTTACAGAATACCAGAAGCAATCATGGACTAGAGGTTTTCTATCTTCTGGGCTTGGTAATAGCCAGTAGTTGGCATGATAACCCGATATGAAGCATTTCCATAACAACTACAGTCTGTCAGTGATAGTGATTTTATGGAAACAAGGCTTTAACTAGTCTTTAGGAATGTAAAATTTTTGAGTTGTGAGGGAAAAATCCTGTTTTTGTTTATTTTACCCTACAGCTCCAATATCAATGATGACCAATGATATTAAAGTATTATTAATTAATTAATTCTTGATATTATTTTTTACCTGATGATTGTCCAGGTACAAAGTGAAGACAGCTTGATTGACAAAATAATGGAAGGCCACATACAACTGCAACCACACTGACATTGCTGGGTTGTACACCTCAACAGGTGCACTCACCTACAAAGAAAGAAAAATATACTTATTCATTATTTTATAATATAAATAATAATAACTAAAGCTGTCTCTTATACACATCTAGATGTGTATAAGAGACAGGAGTTTTTTCTTTCTTTGTCTGATTTCTCTTCTGTAACATTTCAATTTATATTATTCATTGCATTATTCCACTTGCTTGCACTTTTTATATATACAAGCATCCCATTTGAGATCCAGCAAGCTGAAAATAATGTACAGAAGAGGGTGCATCGTATTGATCTCTGGCAGCCTATATCAAATTGTCACGTCAGACACGTTATGGAGGGAGAAAAGCTGGGTGAAAAGTTAGGTGAGGGGCGTTAGCTAGAAAAATAAGGTGATAAGAGTTGGTGTTTAACATTTTTTAAAAGAGAACTAGCAAAATGATTTTTTGTTCTAGAGAGGATTTTTGATATGCCATTAATAATAGAATCAACCTTAAAATCGTTTTTTGGCTTTTTTTTAATGAAGTTATAGGCGATTATATACGATTTTACCATGACGTCACTGGCGAAAAAGTAACAAAAGATCGTGTAAATAGGGCCGCGTAGGGTATCCGCCGCGTACGATCTTTGCGTGTATACGCGGTGGATACCCTACACGGAGCTATTTACACGATCTTTTGTTACTTTTGCGCCAGTGACGTCATGGTAAAATCGTATATAATCGCCTATAACTTCATAAACAATAGCCAAAGAACGATTTTAAGGTTGATTCTATTATTAATGGCATATCAAAAATCCTCTCTAGAACAAAAAATCATTTTGCTAGTTCTCTTTTAAGCCTAATTTTTTTGCTCAGCAAATTTCCAGTTGGGACACCTAGGAAAGCGCAACTTGTTTTCAGGGGTCCTAATTCCCTGTAAATGGCAGGGGGAGGGGGACATTTAGAAAGCTGACTTCAGATTTTGCATGGTTAATCCCCGAATTGTGATGATGTCCCAACAACAAGGCATCTTTTGGGTGATCATGGCTACCAAGTTTATTTGGTAAAAAAAACCTTATAATTTAATAATATCTATGCAAGTATGGAAACTAATACTTTATTGTTTATTTATTGTTTGTTTTATTGTTTGTTTGTTTGTTTGTTTGTTTAATAATAATATTTCATTTACTAACATGCAGTATGAAGATTTAGAAGCCTACCCTCATACCTTTGGAATATCCTCCGGATTACCTAACCTTGGTGTACCTGGCATCCAGCCTGGTCCCTTGAAGATCACAGACAGCTTGTTCCCAAAGCCTGGAGTTGTCCAAACAGTCTTGAGAATATGGGTGAAATGGCACACCTACAAAAAAAAACAAAAAAACATACTATCAAATTCCAACATTGTACCCATAATGAGCAAAGCAATTCAGAAAAAATACTTATTAAATAAAGTCAAGTGGCCAAGTGAAAGGCAAGTGATTTTTATACTGACTCCAGTGACTGTTTCTATTATTTTTTGCTGTAAAGCTTTGGGTAAACATTTTTTGAATACTTTAATTTCTATGTTCAAGGTAATTTCAAATATGGTTTTTATGATAATTTTTGCATTTTTCATGGGAAAATACATATTTAATTTTCAATATATACAGAGAATAGAAATGAGATAAAATGTAATAATAGTGAATTCTTGTTGCACATCTCTTTAGCGAAAAGAGAAACAATAAAGTTATTATTATTATTATTATTAATATTATTATTATTATTATTATTATTATTATTATTATTAATATTATACTACTAAAGACTGCCTTAAGGGGAACTTGGACAATGGAGAAATTAGAGAACAGTTAAAAAAACGACATTAAGGATAAAATAACACAAAAGATATTCCCCTTAATATTATATTATTATTATTATTATTATTACTTATAAAAATGTATGCAATTCTCCTTACTTGAATCCACACAGGATTCCATGAGTTGAGTGGATGTGTTAAACCATACACTACTTTCTCTCCTTCAGCTTGGAATGTGCCTGTAAAAGTATGGTACATTGAAATGATTTACATTATGTTTAGAGAGACCCTACGTTATGCTAATTTGGTTAAATAAAATAACAGTCAAACCAGGAAGCGGTTTGGTGCAGCTTGAGCGGTTTGGTTTCCCAACCTCGAGGTCGGGGTTTCAATCCCTCGCTGTGCATTTCGCTTGTGTCCTTGAGCAAGACACTTTATCAGCATTGCTTCTCTCCACCAAGGAGTATAAATGGGTAACTGGTGGGGTTGCCTGCACTAACATGGCAGCAACACTCAAGCATGTGGACCCTATGACCAGAAACAACAAAGTGCTTTGTAACTAAACAGAATAGGTACTATATAAATACTAATGTAACAAATAAAAAAATAATTCTTAACATACAAAAACACATGAATGAAATGATAGCATTTACTATGAACTGAAGATAAATAAACAGAGTATTTAAGCAAAAAGGCACAAATCAAAAAAGCACTATTACAATTTGATATACAAAATATGTAAAGAACACAATATTCATTTAAATATCATTTAAATAATGTATTACATTTTTTACAGTTCTTAACATAAAAAAAATGTTTATATAATTAAAATTAAGAAAATTTATTTGCAATTATAATCCACTTGACAATATAGTACAACATTTAAATTTATTCTAATGCTCTGTCCAAATTATCAAATTTCCTTTGACACAAAACAGTTGTATGGCCATATTTAGTCATGACGTACCTATATATGGTCATGATGTGATGTCATCATAACCCTATCTAGGCATGTCACATTTTTTTTTTTGTTAAAATGAAATTTAATAGTCTGGACAGGATTATCAATGGCTTCATTATATGTTTGGGATGTTGAGAGTATGTAAGGCCCTGAGACAAACAAAATAAACTTAATTTCACTCTGTAAAGTTTCTTATTTGAGGTATTTGTTTCATTTACCCACTCACTCATCTTCAGCATCCTTAGTTAATGTGCTTACCAAACATTCTGTCCCATATTATCAAGGTACCTGCATAATTCTTATCAATACAGTAAGGGTTCCGACCTAGCAAGAAAAACAATATCATTATAAACTTTAATACACCATTGAACCCCCCTCCCCCTTTACATGTTCTTCAAATACAACTAGATGTCATAATCCAGTATTCTTTTCTACTTATTGTAAAATTAAAGATCATTAACATCAAAAAAGCATTGCAAGGGTTGGCTATGAATAGAAAATATAAAAATAAAACCATAAATACATAAATAACACGTAAAAAGTATCGCTCACCTGGCACCATCCAGGTATATCTAATTCTATGTTTCAAGGCTGAATTTTGTATATTAAAATGTGACTTAAACTACATGGTACAAACTATCCCTGCCGGACAGCATCTCAGTATTTTTGAGTCAAAGTTTTGTGGAAATCATTATTTGAAGTCATTCCAAAATGAAATTCCCAGAGACATTTCTAATAATTTATGCTACATTGTATTTTAAGAGCTTATTAAGCCAGCCATTAGTGGAGAGGACGTGTATCAGGCCCTTGCTCCTGAGTTCTACAGTAGCTGTAAGGTTTAAACCCTCACTGTCAATTTTGATTTTATTATTTGCACAAGACAAATTTTATTACATTTTCCAAGCTGAACTTACCATGATGTACTCTGTGATGGCTTGGTGTATTAAGAATATACTCAAGTGGACCTAGGGACGACACAAGCTATTTGAAGCAACAAAATTATTATACATCAATGCTTGAGACTTGATAAAATAATACATATTCTGCTTTCATGTTATACTTTTATAGCAAGAAGTGCTTAACCACTAAGGACAAATGTGCAAAACATATTAAGTAAATAAGATAAAGTGACAATTAACAACACACGCATAGTGTTGATTTGTGTGATCTGTACTTGGAGCTTAAATGAACTGGGACCCAGATAGAGGATGCATAGCCCTCTGATAGCTGAAAGGGCTTCCTTCATAAAACAGGTTAAGGCATGATAATGATGTAATTGTAAATAGGAAAACAAAGTAGGCCTACAAAATAACTGGCAAATGCTATTGAACAATACAGCTTGAAAGTTAACATACTAATATGTATGTATGAGTGTAAAGTGTTACAACAATTTAATGCAGTCCAGTATCCAGAGGGGTGCGATGGATGCATATGCATCAGCATCCCCCAACTAATCAATAAATGTCCACATTTTTAAGACTGTCACACACTCCCCACTAATCGATATAAGTCCACATTTTTTAAGACGGTGTACTGGATTGTAGAATTTATTATATTTTATTGTATTGATTGTAATAATTCTTGAAGGGAATCCTAAATCACCTAAAACACCCTATAATACCAAAACTGGGATCTAACCAGCCCTTCCCCTCGACCCAACCAGGGGTTCTAGATGACCCAGTTGGTCCACTTTGGCACATCCACATACCCACTAACGGCAATCCTGGTTACGGCCGTGCAATACATGACGGATTATTACTGCCCTTGTATATCATCTGAGGCATGTTGTGGCAAAATGGCTAAGTTGTAGCAAAAATTGAAATTCAAGTTATTGGTATTTTCAGATACCTGAGTATGTGGTCTTTACAATGAGGGGGTCATTCATTAAAATTAGACATTTCAAAGTTAAGTTATTGGAAAGTGAAAGTACAGTACTCTTAGAGTCAAGATAAACATGATTTTGAGTAATTGCCTTTCAAAGTTATTTGTGCATACATTGTTTAATAGAATGAACTAACAAATAACGTTAAATAAACCATTTGTTGACCACTTCCAGAACTAATACTTTGGGACACGATTACTAAGACATTGCACTGTTGATCTATAGTGAAAAACAAATTTGAATTTTAAGGCAATTTTTTGAGCTCCCTTATTTATAGCTCATTTACTCAATACTGGCCTGTGCGACAACTTAACCATTTCGCCACGACATGCCTCATACCTGTAATACCCTTAATATAACAATTACTTTTTTTAATATTAGGAAAATTTTAGTTAAAATATTGTATTCATTATAGTATTACGTATAAAGTAACAGGAAATTCTTGGAAACACAGTTAGTCATTGAATAACTCTTGAATAGAAAAGTTCAAGTTTATAGAATCTGAAACTATACCTCGGTGTGAATCCAAAATTGATAGAGCAGGTTAAATTGTGCATGAACCAGCATCACAGGTGTTGGAATAGCAAGTGCCATAGGAACATAGAAAATCTGAAAAAAAAAAAAAAAAATTGGATATGTGATTACAGTTTGTAATTATTGAAGATTTTTATGGTGCCGATGACATGGCAAACTCAGCGTTTTAAATTATTAAATGTACTAATTAAAAAATAAAAAAAAGAAACACCTACAGTGCTTACAGCCCAGATGCCCAATCTGGAAAGTATTTGGCGAACATGTTGGGTCTTTGACTTGAACGTGGCCGTATCAGGTGCTGATAAGCCCCATCCCTTGGATATTGTTGCTAAGGTGTGGGACCTTAAACAACGTAAACATGTGTAAGCTTGCATGTTTGTTGGATATGTTCATATTTTTGGCTATTAAATAACACAATTTGATTCGTCAAAAGTTTGACATTCCAGTCCAACATCGGTGCAGCACAAGTGATTGATTCTTGCCATAAGTTTTCAACCTCCAATTTGAGCCAGAAGCAGATATTGAAAGATAATTAATTGGCCAAAATATATAATATTTAAATATATATATTTTGGAAGGAAGATGTAAAGGGAAAAGTGGAAGAGGAAAATGAATAATTAGAAGGTGAGACATAGCTAAAGCAACGTAGAAGTACAGCACAAGGCCGGGCAGCATGGATGAGTAAATATGATGGTACTCAATGGAAGTACAATGGGAATGATTTGGTTAAGCTCAGCCTCGAGGTCGGGTTTTAATCCCTCACTGTGCATTTCTCTTATGTCAAGGCATTTTATCTACTTCTCTCCATCCAGGAGTATAAATGGGTACCTAATGGGTTGCCTGCTCCAGTGCTGACTACCTCACCAACAGCATGGTTACCCCAGGCCAAAAGTGCTTTGTATCTGGAAAGAATGGTGCTATACAAAAAATAAAAGCAGTGTAATTAATAATTAGGGAGTCTTACCCAGGAAGTATAATGCTGCACTACTGACTGCCGAAGGGCTGTCGACAGGTTGTATTCTTCGGAGCTATGATGCACTTGATGGGCAGCCCATAATACGTTGACCTCTGCCAGGGAAAGTGGAAAACATATATATACTTGAATTGGAACAATAGGCCAAATGTGGCTGGCAATCAATCGAATCATACTGTATAACGATTTCAGTATAATAAATGTTAATTGAAAAATTATCTTCTAGTGTAGTTTATCATAATTTACATAAAAGTTACAGTATTAAGCACACAAATAAAAAGTGGAGTGGCATATCTAGGAGTGTGTTAATGGGAAAAGCTGGCAAAATAAGGTGACTTGAATTAACCTAGTCCCTACCCAGGGGATAGGGACTAGGTAGGGGGAAAAGTTTACATACCCTTGTATATAAGCTACTGGTAATTTGGTTTTAAAATTTACATTTTAGAATGTAAATTCTAAACAGGAAAGACCTGAAGGACATTTCCACAATCTAAAACTGTTACCATGGAGGTTGAATTCTGTGGTTGTAGTAGTCACCCATTATACTTAATATTTGACAACATTTCCTTACCTCATCAAAAATTAACCTACGACCCATGTTTTATATCACAAGCTACTTCAAAATAATAAAAGCTATTAGTATTAAGTTGCTTTCAGGACAATGAACAATTAATCTCCATGGGATTAATTGCAAAGAATAAAAAAATGAGATGTTACCGTGAGCAGCTCGATGAAACCAGTAGTAGGCAAAGTCAAAGGTTAACATACAAATCACCCATGTCCATGCACTGTTCCATGGCAATTCAAATATTCGGTAGTTCTCATAAACCCAAATGTATGCAAGAATCTCCAAACTTTTGAAGAGAGTCCTATTGACATATGAAGAAATGATTGAAAAAAATGAATTAAATAGTTATAATAATTTGTAAATGTAAAGGTAGGACTCAGAATAACCCATATCTTGCAGCGTCATTTTGCGCTAAATTATGTATGGGTGTGGTCCGTGTCTATTTGTTACATCAGCCCTGTGGTAAGAGATGTTTACTAATAAAAATTAGCACTTGTGAGCTGAGCAGTTGGCTGAGAGGTATTGTTCCTGGTTCTTGTGCTGAAGACCCCGGTTCAAAGCCAGCCAGCGTTAAGTTTTAATTGGAGTCTGATAGCTTGGCTCCTCGAACAACTCATAATTGAGAATTAGGCAGGTTAAGGACAATGTTTGTATGTGTCCGTTATGTTGTAGTTAAGTTGGGTGGCGCCGAATTTTCGATTTCCAATTTGAATGAAGACCAATAAACAATTATTATTATTATTATTATTATTTATTATTATTATTAAGTGAGCCATCTAAAAGCATAAATGTAGTATAGAAATAACTAAAATATAAACTGCATTTGTATTTATACATGGGTGAATACAACACAATGGAATACAGTAATTAAATAAAATGGATAGGAGAGTTTGGGCAATGAATTTAGGTGAAGACACAACAGCTTAATAGAAATTTAGAAGTGCCAAAATGAAATACAGAGAAATAATTACAACTAAAGAAAAATAATTCATTCCAGAATTAAATACAATGCATAGCTAGCTAATCATATTGCCCAAAGACAATATTATACTGGTAAAATGCTGAATGGTTTAAAAATTACAGTATTTGTCAATCATCAAATAAAAATATATCAATCTTAAAAAAAATAACTATAATATCTGAAATGAAAGTTAAAAAATGGTCCAAAATGACAAATTGTCTATTCTTTCTCAAGTGAGACACCCTTAAAAATTAAAAAAATCCCAGAAATACATCCTCATTCACTTTTCAAAAGACAAAGATTAATGAGACTTGTCTGAATCAATACTTACTTGACAGCTGTCATTAACAATCCTGCAGAAATAGAGCTAACTGTGTCGTTCACACGTAACCATTTCTTGTCTCGAATTCCAATGATGACCGCCTCCAATATCACTGAGATCGTGAAGTATGGTAGTGACTATATGGGAGATATTAAGGTTCATGGAAAAGTTGTTATGCAGATCAAAAAATAGATGATCTTTCTTAAGTTATGAATGACATGCTGTATTATTCTCCATTAGCAGTTTTAGTCACTAAATTTTTTGCAAAAATTCTGATGTAATCTCTTATACATACTGGGACAGGTAATGTCCCAATAGTGGTAACAGACCCCATAGTGTGCTCCCCCACCTCCCACCCCGATGAAAACATAAACCAGAACCCTGCAGGTGTGTACGTTCCTTTGTACGCAAAAACTAAACACAAATTTGGGAATTGCGAAAATTAATAGTCACCAAATTCATTCATTGCATTTTGCCAATTTTTAATTATCATGGTATGGTAACAAGCAGCGACTTTTTTTCCTTTTGAAATAGAGTAAAGCAACACCTAATGAGCAAGTATACAAGAAACTAGATCTCGAAATGATTCATTGCATTGTTTAGCGTCACATCCCCAAAAAAAAAAAAATTGGGGGGGGGGGGGTTAATTTCACTTTTCCGTATATCAATATTCTTTCTGCACGCATTCTTATAAAACTTGTTTTAACTAAAATATGACAAGTCGTCTTTAAATGGATTACCTAATCACAAATTTAACATAGATAAAAAATGTTATTAACAAAAAGTTGAGCACAATACGCCAAAGCAAAATACACTACAAAATAAACTTGGTTTAGGCCTAATGTATATTTGTCAATGATTGTAGATTGTGAAGTTAAGAGACCTGTTTCTTAACGGCAAAACAATAGTGTAAGTAGGCCTAGGCTATGTAGAGTCATGGTACAGTAGGCCTATTCAATTTTCTAAAAGCATAGGCCTACTGGTCAAGCCGGTGCTGATTAAGTTGCAATCGAAATTTAAACCCCTGAAGTGACGTACGTTTAATTACTTTAAAGTAAAAATGTGCTACACTAGAACCCCCTCCTTTGGGACACCCCTATTCAGGGGACACCTCTATGAAGGGGACACCTTTAATATGGCATTATGAGGACACCTCTATTAAGGGGAAATATATCTCTTAACACTACGGCCAACCCCTATTAAGGGGACGGGGACACTAGTGTGCAAAATGGTCAAATCAATACCTGTCTCTTATACACATCTAGATGTGTAATTTCGTAAGCTATTACATTTAATTCATACTCATATTTGAATAGCACATACGATTGAGAAAACATAGTGATTTGAAAAACTTGTAGTAGTTTGAACATGGAGGTATAGGCCTATTGTTCTCTGTAATGCCTACTACTGAAGTTATCGCGATGAAAACAAAATGTTGGCAAACTTTTTCCCGACGCATGCGCAAATCAAAATTTGAACTAAAAAACGACTCAAAACTGGTGGTAGGGATATATGTTTTATCGCATACACCTTACATTTTCTATCTAACCGAAAAAACAAACATTTCTCACACAATTACATGTCCACCAGTACCTCTTGGGCACAATGTATACCCACCGCGAGGCACCATTTAGGAGCCTATTTGTTTACAGACATAGAGACAGGTTGTTGCCATACATACACACACACATTTCACATCTGTATTATCCCAATAGTTCCTCTGTGACCTAAGGTCACAAAGGAACTAATAAAGTTGAAACGTATTAAACACTTGTAACATTCCAAATAGAAACCGCTGTCTCTGTCAGGGTATGGTTATTGTTAATATTGTATTTCATATACTTTTAAGGTTGGATTTTTTGACATATTTTTAAAAAATTGGGTTTTTAAAATTTTTCCGTAACATTTAAGGTGACTCTCCAAAATTTACAGGTGACACAGTTACGATCCAAATTTTGAGGATTGAGGCCCGAAATAACAAGATATGAACTACTTTCATTAAACACAGTATAAAAATACATTGTATTCTAACTTACCTCTACGATATAATCTGGAACTTCTTCGAGAGTTTCAAAAGATGACTCATTTGGGGTTACTAAGTATGCAAAGCGCCGCAGCTGAGTCACCGGGTCAACTTTGAAAACTTGATCCATTTTGACCTGCAATTTAATCCAGAGGATTTATGTTACTACAGTTGCATTCTTATTCTTAAGTTAAAAATTATCCTTCTAAGCATGCATTAAATATAAAAATCCAGGACTGTCCACTCTGTGAATGGTTATAATGCTTCATTAATCAATACTGTAGAACCCCTCCTTTGGGGACACCCCTATTATTTTACCTCTTTAACAAAGTGTTTGTTTCTGTACTTTGTTTAGGCACCTTTAAAGAATCTTTAAAGTACATCACCATTCACAATGCCCCGCAGGCATCAGACGATAAAACACACAAACACTGTACTTCCCGCCAAATAAAATACGGCAGATGTATTAAGTCCGATTGCTAAATAGTTCTATTCGTCTATTCTAGGCACCTACGCATTAAGGGGACACCACTATTTAGGCGATACTTTTCCGGGAAAGGAGGGGCAATATATCTTTTAACACTACAGCCAACCCCTATTATGGGGACACCCCTATTATGGGGACACCCCTATTAAGGAGACGGGGACACTTTTTGAGTGTTCAAAATGGTCAAATCAATACAATTTCACCTCTATTAAGGGAACAATTTTTTTTATTATATCAAAACAACTACACTAGTCACAAAATAAGTAGAAAATCATTAAAATTTATATTTTTGACACCTTTTGAGCAAGAAACTTAACACCATACCAGAATTGTTTCCAAACTTAGAATAGGCATTTGATGGCTAGTGCATGAGTTACTTCATATAAATAAAATCTTGTCAATTTTGACCATTAATCATGGAAATTTCTTGTTTTGTGTATTTTGATATAGGATTCTAATCTATCTAGGCAGCCCTACTTTGATTTCTAAGTTGATAACATCTATTAATAGTATTCTATATTGTGCATCCAATAGAAAGCTCAATATTTTCAAGAAGAATATTTGGTCACTAACATTGCACTCAAACAAAGAAACAATATCAGGCACATACACAAATTTTGTAGTTTTAATTACATCTGTTAAGTTTATATCCTACGTGAATATTTCTTGCATTGCAAATTATTGTTAAAAAATTAGGTATTATTCAACTGTAATGCATTCTTATGTCAATTAAAATAAAATTATAAAGAATCTATGTCATCATTATACAAAAACATGCCAAAACTCCTATTAAGGGGACAATTTCATGTTTTTGGTAATGGTAATGGTTGGAGGTTTCTATAATGCATAACACATGGTCTCTATGCGCTGGTTAGTGTCTCCTGAATAGGGGTACCCCGTTTAGGGGAACCCCCTATAAAGGGGACACTTTTTTTTGGTCCCGAAGGCATCTCCTTAATAGGGGTTCTACTGTATTTTAACATAATTTTTATTTCTATTATAGTTTTACATGTCGTCTCATGTCATTGAAATTAATTTCAAGAAGAAATGAGATAAGGCAAACAATTTACAGTACATGGTGCTACATTTAAAGCTTGCTTTCAATGGGATACCATTCCACATGCAGTACTTTACTATAACTACTGTATAAATTGTATTGTGTCAGGAAAGGGCAGAAAAGAAAAATGTTAAAATATTTTGTATAGCATTAATGGTTTTCTCCTTCCATTCTAGTACAGACCAGCTGTCGGTGTGTTTTCGTACTGTGGTGGTGTTCGAAGTAGGTAAGTTTTATAATCCAAGACTTTTTTTTTTTATTTAATTATTATTTCTTGTTATTTATTACTTATTTAAATTAAAACATCAGCGCTTTTGCTAGGCTCCTCTGGGAAGGGGTGCGACTCCCATTTCACTGTATGGTGCAGTACCCATTTCACTTCACTTTACTGGTGAATGTAAACAGTGTAGTAATGGAATTGATAAATGCTTTAATTTAAATTTATATAACTAAAGAAGAAATGCTGGTATCTTGTTTTGAGAGACTTTAAGACAGCAGCAGGTGGAATAAAAATAAAGGGTTTTTTTAGATGCCGGTTGGTGTGCTAACTGGCTAAAAATAATTTTATATTTATTTGAAATCATCGTTATCAGGGAGTGACGGGTTTGGGAAACACGGAATATAAAAAGTCGAGTCTAAGCTTAATTTTATGAAATCCTAAAACTTTCATTGTTAGGAATTGTTATGAATTGCTTTTTTAAGGTTAAATTGTATATTACTATTTTATTAATATCACATGAAAATATCAGGAACAGCCAGCAGATAGCAGGATCATGGCAAATGTGGAGTTTAATAGATAAATAATAATTTTTAAAATGATGTCATTGTCAGCATCTGATTGTTTTATGTACACTCCATACTCTGAAATACCGGATTTGTATGACTGTTGGAATGGCCCAAAATAACAAGTAAATAATTTGACAGTCAGATGGTTTATGCACTAGATAAAACACTCCAATAGAGTTACAGAAAGCTAACATGTGGGTTTGATTTTGATATACACTGTACAGCACATACTGGCCTTTGGACTTTCGAAATGATTAATTTGTGATAAATAATGAATAATCCCAAATCCTGGACCCTGGCGAATTATGAATATACATGGAACATATACACAATTTAGTGTTACATTTCTAAATTTTATATCTGATTTTTTTATCTTGTTAACTGTGCTTTTCGGGATTGGCCTTTATCAGAGGTGGGATTGTTCTCCTGTTGGCCTTTTTCCGTCACCGGCAACTTTATCTCATTGACATATTTGCTGCGAAGCAGCCAATTCATATTCTTGACAGCAATTTGACCTCTGAAAGGTAATTGTTTGTCAAAAAACTAGTGCCTAAGACGACTGAAAAGCGGAGTTTCCTTCTTTCGTTCTGCCGGGTAAAATCAATTACTTTAGGCGGCTATCGTAGACTGACCTACTCGTACCAACGTCTGCATGCCGCGCTAGCCTTATCCTACTCTAGGCCTAGACTATCTAGGATGGTATAAGCCTTGAAGACGAAGGTCCCAATGAAAAACAACGTCGCTCTTTGATAGCTAACATTGTCTATTTAACATCACAATAATTCATTATTAGACCTATAGTTGTTTTTTGAATTGTACTCCACAAATCTCAGCCGATACCTCGCACAACTGGCTAACGTCTCTATCTATTGTTGTGACGTCATGGCTCGCTGGCTCACACTTGTGATATGTCCTGCACTTGTGATCAAATAACACGCTGGCTCGCACTTTGGCAACACTCTTTGGCAGTCAACTCGCCCCTAGAAAACCCGCCCTTGGAAATTTGCCCCATAAAAAATGTACACTTCCTAGACCATGCAGTCTTAAAAATATAAATTGTAACCTTTGGTAATCAACTACATTTTCCACATACATAGAGATTTTTGAAACTAAACTATAATTCACCACACTATAGACACTTTTTGACAAAAATGAAAAATTACGAATTTGTTACCCAATGAGAAGTGTTCTAATATAGACAATGGGTCGTGTCTCATATTATTTGTTATAGTTTTATTATTCATTATTTTCAGTTGACTCGCATAAATAATTTTGTTTGAAGAACATTTATATGCAGTTGTACTTCGCAGCACTTCACTTGCAATTTGCAATTTCTAGTTTATTGTATATTTTGCCTGTGTGAAGTCGAAAAAACAAAAATCAAATCAAAACAAGGCTCAATAGATTGTGTTTGCTCTAAGTAGTAGGTCTAGTGAATCAGGTTAATTTTTGTTTTAATTCTTTTTTTATTTCTTTGCACATACATACACACAAATGCAAAAATTTACGTATATGTTCTTAAACGGTAACCTTTGTTTTCATCTGCTAAATTTGCTTAATATGATTTTGGAAAAACTTAAAGGGTTTTTATTTAAATTTAATTAGATATTTTGCTGTTTACACTCTGTACTTTACTTTTCAATTGTTCTATTATATTTTGTCTCTCATAAGCCAGGCTTAGCTGGCCTTTGTTTGAGGGTGAGACTTTAATAAATAAATACATTACTTTTTACTTACTTACACTATTGCCACTATCGGATATCACTACCGTATTAGTACTGTAGGTGACAATCACTTTTGAAAGACAAACATTTACACAAAAATAAATATACTGTATGAGGTTTTGGGAGTGGACTTTTCTAGGTGATGAGGAAAATATCCTGCAACACATTACAGGAATTGAACCAAAGACCCTGGGATTGAAAGGCAAGGATCTTACTAACAAAAACTACTCATTAAGTGTTCATCGTTAAAAACGATCGGTTGCATGTGCATCATGGCTGTGCATCCTCCTTAGAATCGTGACAGACAACGACTATCAGGATCAGTGATTGCCTGCAGGTTTTAAAGGAGAAGTTAACCAATTTTAATTTTATAACTGATTGAAGTATACTCAGTTAATAATATATCATTTCTGAAAATAAGAATCTCATGCCCGCTTGTGACGTACTCGCAAGTGCATCACTTCATCCAAGTGAACAAGTTGGTTTTTTTTTATATTATTATACTACAGGTACTATCTTTATATTCGAACAAAATATTGAATGGTTTACTGTAGGTAGACAAAAAAGTAGTAGTAAATGTACAGTAGAGATGAAGGAAGACAAACTTCAGAGAGAAGAGAGAACGAAAAACCATGCATGGCTATACAGTTCAGAGAATGAATGATACATTTTGGTGTAGAACTAGGCCTACGGTAATCAAGATTTCAATAAAGCTATAAGCAGATGCATTCATGAGTTTCATGGATAAAATAGGCCTACCTTTAGATGAATTTGATGCAGATTTACTGAAGCTGCACACAGTACAATGACAATTTTAAGTTTGGAACTAGGAGTTTACTGTAGATCGCCAGGCCTACACTCCAAAGTATTCACACACTTTGTAATTTTTTTCCAATCTATTATATTTCTGCTAATCCGCATTACAGATTTATTGAAGGTAGTATATTTCCAATAAAAATATTACCATAATAAACACTGTTTAAATTAATGGCTTCTATCCACTACAGTATACACTACTGCAGACAAGATGCTGGTACTGCAAATGGAGAGATAGCTAGATAAATACCAGCACACAGTAGGAACCATACCAATTGTTTAATCATATACGGTACAAATCCCATAACTGAGCTCCTCACAGCTAATGAATTCAGAAATTCAAAACTGTAAATTTGTTGTTTACAGCACTAATGGGAAAGAAGTCTTGTACTTTACTTTATTCTCCATACCACTTCAATGATGAAAATTTTAGATGTATAAATTATAATTAATAAGTATACAAATAAATAATTTTAAGATGTAATGTACTGTAGTTAATGACAATGGCAACCTTGAATCTCATAGAAAAATCTCATAGAAAAATTATGCATTTGTCTTTTCAGAGGGCCATATGTTATCATTCTTTTAAGTAAGGAAGTTCAAATTAAAATGTGATGAATATGCTCATACTACTATATATAAAAGTTTGCAAGGTAATTAGAGCAATATTGACCGACCAGATGACAATGTGGACACATTCATAATGAAATTTATACCAGTAGACAGATACACATAGCATCACTGTAAGTAGAAAGTTTAAACTTTGTTTTTCAACTCCTTATGAGTGAACTGATTTTTCTTTAAATAGACAGATTTTAATGTATTCTGGATTAGGTCAAAGTTTAAGTCACAAATACTAACTTATTTGAATTTGAATGGTATTTCTTGACAGAGGGGCCATACTGTATATCAGTCTATGCAGCAATTTTCAACTTTTTATCGTCGTTATTTCAGGAGGTATAGCTTTATAAAAATGAAAGTTAACGAAGGTAAAGGAGCCGTTACCAGAATGAAAAAGGGGGCATTGTACCTAGATTTTAAAAGGTCATAACTTAAAAACCGCTTGGAATTTTTTTATTCTTCCTTTTGACATATCAAGGTATTTTAGAATTTTTTTCAGCAAAGTCCAAGGGGAATCATATGGGCATGGTGGTTGATTTGAGCCAGAGTGACCATAATCATATTCTTATTCTTTTTGCCAACATCAAGAACCAACAAAAACACTATGACAGTCAAATCCAGGCAGGAACCTAAAAGCAAACTAAATCACTGTAACAGAAGTTAAGGTTCCTTACTCCCAAAGTAACATAACAATAAATATTAAAATAAACTTATACAAGATTAAGATTATGGTATTAAAACATTGAAACTGTAAAAACTATTTAACTTTAAAATAGGAAAAAAAAAAGAAGTGGAGATGAAAAAAGATAGGACCGTACAATACGCGGCACAATGCAACTAAGCAGAGGGCTACATGACATGCCCTTTAACAGAGCACAGAATTGTTGGAAAAGAATCAAAGGTAATGGATTTTTTTTTACATTTTCTGGAAGTATTTCCCAGTCTTGGGAACAGATGATTGGAGAAATGGGGTCATTCCATGTCAAATCCACCAGATTTCAAGAAAGTTCTGTATGACCCTCTCAGATTTTGAAGAAACTCCAGAAGATTTATCGACTGTGTGAAAAACCAACACACAAAAACAATTAGTGTATAGGATTTGTAGTTCTGAGATATTGACTCCTCAAAAAAAAAGGGGGGGCATGGTTCTTCCACTATGACAGTCAAATCCAGGCAGGAACCTAAAAGCAAACTAAATCACTGTAACAGAAGTTAAGGTTCCTTACTCCCAAAGTAACATAACAATAAATATTAAAATAAACTTATACAAGATTAAGATTATGGTATTAAAACATTGAAACTGTAAAAACTATTTAACTTTAAAATAGGAAAAAAAAAAGAAGTGGAGATGAAAAAAGATAGGACCGTACAATACGCGGCACAATGCAACTAAGCAGAGGGCTACATGACATGCCCTTTAACAGAGCACAGAATTGTTGGAAAAGAATCAAAGGTAATGGATTTTTTTTTACATTTTCTGGAAGTATTTCCCAGTCTTGGGAACAGATGATTGGAGAAATGGGGTCATTCCATGTCAAATCCACCAGATTTCAAGAAAGTTCTGTATGACCCTCTCAGATTTTGAAGAAACTCCAGAAGATTTATCGACTGTGTGAAAAACCAACACACAAAAAAAATTAGTGTATAGGATTTGTAGTTTCTGAGATATTGACTCCTCAAAAAAAAGGGGGGGGGGGCATGGTTCTTCAAGATGTGCGAAAAAATTGTTGATTTGCTCTGGCAAAAACCCACTCTTTGTATGTAGGAAATATTCAAATTTTTTTTTTTTTTTTAGCTATTTTTAAAATATTACTATTAGTGAAGTTGTGAAAAATATTTAATTCATTGAATATTAGCTAAGAAGGTTTTGAGAAAGCAGCTTCCAAAATTCCAAAATTAATAGTTTAATATTAAAATTTGTACTGTATTGTATTTTTAAAATAATTTTAATACCTTTCAGTTAGATTTACAGTAGTACTTCTTTCATAAACTGCCAAAAAACCTGAAATTCAAAAATCCTAATATTTAGACATTTTGAGTGCTAGCGGAGACAAATGAAGGGTCTTGCCGGAGCCGGTCAAAATTTAGTTTAGCAGCTTGCTTGAGCATTGCCAAGGTTGTGACCTTAATGGAGATCCTTCCCTCCCAGCTAACATAAGCACTGTATGATGATGAAATAAGTTTCATGGGAGTGTATATAAGAAAGACAATGATTCAACCAGCCACAAACACTGTTTTCCTCTAGACAAATTTATGCACGCAATTGGTCAAAAAGTTTTGTCGCCAAAAAATTTGCATGAGAGCTTTGATATTTTCCATTACACAAGCGAAAAATTTGTGCAATAAATTATTGCTGTGTTGCCACTGACCTGTCTGTGTGCCATGGTAATGAATATATAATCAATTTGATTCTGTGCTCATGAGCGCGATGACATTTTTTCCAGAGCTCTGATTGACTGTCCATTATTTCACTTCCAAAAGTAAAATCTCCAAAATTTGCACACAAAGCAAACCACCGAAAGTGAAAATGCAAACAACCTTGAGAGGACCTGCGCATGAAACTTAAACTGCATGGTACGCATGGGAACCAGTCAATTCGAGCGGATGCTACTTCGAGTGAAGGCCAATTCGAGCGGATTCGAGCAAATTCGAGCGGAATTTTTTTCAAGCGGATGCTAGTTTGAGCGGAAGAAGATCCACTTGTGCGAACAACAACCTGTGCCAGTTATATATACGAATTACTTCAAAATTTCCTATTTTTGAGCTAAAAATTTGACATTTTCAAAGGGGAAGGGGCACACAAGTTTCAGAATAGATAAGTGAGTAGCATAACTCAATTACAAATATATAATTCTGAAAAAAATAATGGTCACTCGTCTTGTGTGTGTGCTTCTCGTGCACTCTAGTAAAACATACACTTTCTTCTTTTTTAAGCTGAAAAGTGCGCAATTCTATTATAGTTTTAACTTGTTAGCGGCCATCTTGGTAGTAGGAGTTGCCAAGACTGTAATTCAAACATGGAGTAATTATCAAAAGTACTAAAAACCTTTCAGAACCTTAGTAATCAGAGCATTTTTTTGCATTTAAACAAACAAATACAAGAATACGGCGACGATAAATTCGCCCTTGTTGTTATAGTTCACACTAAATGCATCCGCTCGAACTGGCATCAGCTCGGACTGACATCCGCTCGAATTGACTGGCACCCGTACGCATAATCTAAAACGCTTCCTCTTTGTCTTTGTGCAACAAACTTGCTTACATGAGAAGTTTTGCAAACAAAAAAATTTACTTATTTTCCGCTACATGAACGAAAATATTTGGATGCAAATTTTGATGGGGGGACATGTCATTCGTATGTGTACATTCATCGGTTCGATTCTGCAGTAATGGACATGATTAAATCCTTTTCCCAAGCCACATTGGCTGCGCATTATTTTGCTTTGGCTTTGCAAAAAGTAGAACATGTTCTCCAAAATTCGCCAAAGCGAAGTAACCTACTGTAGCCTCGGCCTAGCCTACTAGCTAGGCCCTAGGCCTACCATAAGAAGAAAAAAGTGAACAATCTGGTGGTAAAGAACTTGTGCATGAAAATTAAACTGTGCATGCGTAGATCAATCAAACAAAGGCCTGGACTTAGGCCTAGGTCTAGGCTAGGCCTATAGGCAGGTTTAGCTTAGCCTCTAGGCCTCTAGGTAGGCCTAGGCCGCTAGGCCTACTTACTAGGTACAGGGACCAGCAGGCCGCTAAGATTCCGCAGTAACAAAAACCAGGGAGTTGTTACAGAAGAAATAATTTAAACCGCTAAAAAAAGAAAACAGTTCTTCTAATCTTAGTTACCTTTCTAATGGGGAAGGAACCCTGCCTGCCTCTCTGTCTGGACAAGACTGTTATAGTATAGCAAAGCCTAGCTAGGCCTAGGCAAAGATACTAGAAATACAAGATAGAGTTAGTTAGCCGTTCTCCACACAAAAAAGTGTTCCACCGAAATGCATGGTGGGAATACAAACAATGGGACGACCCCTACAGCTGGATCTAAAAAAACTTCTGCCAAACTTTCGTTACCAAGTCGTCGCGTATCATTTATTATCAATTCTCAATTAAAAAATTGTACACCGCGATGCGCTATGGCGATATACGTTATTGGAGGGCGTGCTGTGCAGTAAATTGCAACACATCATACAAACAGGGTCATAATTTATATCGATTTCCAAAGGATAGAGAAAGGTAATATATTGCACTGACCATTAAACCAAAAATTAGCTATATATATTATAAATATATATTAACATTTTGTTTTTTAAACTTGACATATGAATTAGCCTAGGCCTATTGACTTGCGTAGCTAAGATATTGAAGAAAATAAATAAATAATTAGACTAGCTTAAAATAATGAAAAAAAGTACTAAATATTACTCGTTCGTATAATAACGCTAGTATTGTATGCAGTTAGTTATTTATGAATGACGTGAAAATGGAGCTCTTTTGGTAAAGGAAATTTAATAATATTATACAGGTCTCTAACTCTAATTACTTAAGACCCCTTCTTGGACCGGGATTTCCATGGTCTACATACCTAGCATAACCTATATCCGCTTTTTAGTCTCTAATTAGAATAAAAGCCGAATTT